TCTCTCTCTCTCTCTCTCTCTCTCTCTCTCTCTCTCTCTCTCTCTCTGTCAAGGACCCACACTGCTGCAGTTCCCCACTGATTATGCTTTCCCTTTATTCTTTCATGCATGTGGATATCATTGGCAAAGCCAACATTTATTTGCTCATCCTTAATTACTTTAGGAAGGTGATCCTGAAACTCCTATTTGAGCTACTGTGGTCCATGTGAATAGGTACACGTACAGATACTAAGTGTCTGGTCTGTTTTTCTCTTTAACTTTTCTGTAGTGGTTGATACAATTGAGTAACTTGCCACAACATTCAGGGGCAGACAATAGTAACCCACTTTGCTGTGGGTCTGGAGTCCCATTTAGGCCAGATCAGGTAAGGGTGACAGAAACCTTCCATAAAGAACATATATGAGCTGGACAAGTTTTTATGACAATTAATGATATTTTCATGACACCATTACTATGACTAGCTTTCAGTTGCATAGCATTATTTATAATTGAATGTAAAATTGTTGCTGTCACGTGATTTGAACTCATGGCCGCAGCTAATACCCCGGGGATCTGATGGTTAGATTCAGCGATCATGTTACAGTTTGTGATGGGATACCATTCTGCTGCACATGCCCCACAGTGACTCATGGATATTCATTTTTGTGATGCTACATGTATGTTAAATTTATCTTGTTCAGACAGGTGGAAATAGCACACAGTACGACAGAGTGTGTACTAACTGTGAAGTCAGAATTTTGTTTCTACAAGGTGGTCACTCCTGTCAGTGTTTTCATGGGTAGATGCATCTGCAGTTGGTAGATGAGTGAGGCCCAATAGACTTTTCTCTCACTATTTTCCACAGGCCACTATTATTGACAGATATATTTTTCAGGACTGTGCCAACTCAGTCAGTTATACTTCCATCTAGCCATTTTTGGTGGTGGACATTTGAAAAACTGCACTCTTACTATTCCCTATCCCTTTCTGTCACCACCTTTGATTGATGAGTTGATTTTTGGGGGACTGTTCCAATTTTAGCACAAGTACCCAGATTTCAGGAAAGAAAGCTTTAAAGTCACTTGGGCTGGGGAGCTACTTTGTTGCCTGAGTTGATACGGAGTGTTTTGTCTGGTAATGTTCTAATTCAATGTCCTGATTGTGATTTGATACAACTGAGTGATCTACTAAGCAGTTAGGAGTCAGCCGAGGATCTGGAGCCAGCATGGGCCAGGATGGCAGGTTAACCTCCTTGATATTAGTGTAGGTTGCATGGGTTTTACAACTGTCCAGCAGATGTCTTGTTTACTGTTATTTTATATCATAACTGTTATTTTATCTGTGGGTTAAAAAGTACTTTAGTGTGCAGAAATGTTTCAGCTATTTGAAAATCGATAAATCAGTTAAATGCATGGAATCGATGAGTTTATGTGCAAACAGTCCTATTTGTGAGCTGTCTTATTACAGTATGCAATTTTAATTTCAGCATTGAAGTCAATGACTACCTTAAAAAGATTCCTGCAAGGAAATCTGTAAAGATCAAACCTTTGGTAAGCTTATGTATTTTTGAGAATACTGTAGTTTGTTTTAGTTTCAAATATTCCTGCAACATCTCTAATGATTTTAAGAAATTCAACCAGTAATTTCTTGTAGTTCTGTATTTTGGAAAGGCAAATCAGGGCAGGACTTACACTCTTAATTGGAGTGTTGCTGAACAAAGAGTCCTTGGAGTGCAAGTTCATAATTCCTTGAAAGTGGAGTCCCAGGTCGACAGGATAGCGAAGAGGGCATTTGGTACGCTTGTCTTTATTGGTTAGTGTATTGAGTATAGGAGTTGGGAGGTCATGTTGTGGCTGTATAGGGCATTGGTTAAGCCACTTTTGGAACACAGCGTATGGTTCTGGTCTCCCTGCTATAGGAAGGAAGTTGTGAACCTTGAAAGGGTTCAGAAAAGATTTACAAGGATGTTGCAGGGATTGGAGGGTTTGAGCTATAGGGACAGGCTGAATAGGCTGGGGCTATTCATGAATGGCATGGATGGGGTGGGGGACTCCAAACCTAGAGGGCATAGAATAGAGGGAAAAGATTTAAAAGGGACCTAAGGGGCAATTTTTTCACACAGGGTGGAATGAGCTGCCAGAAGAAGCGATGGAGGCTGGTACAATAACAACATTCTAAAGGCATCTGGATGGGTATATGAGTAGGAAGGGTTTAGAGGGACATGGGCCAAATGCTCGCAAATGGGACTACATTAATTTAGGATATCTGTGCTGCATGGAGAATTGGACTGAAGGGTCTGTTTCCATGCTGTACAGCTCTACAACTATCTTACTGTATGTTAGATTAATAACAATTTACTCTAGCTTCACTGGCAATGCGGAACCTTCATTTTGTAAATGTGGATTATAAATTTGGTGCTTCCAAATCATTGCTGATTTCATTTGTGTCCAAGAAAAGATGGGTTTGCTAGAGGCATTATTGTTTAATGTTGATCCCACACTGGATTTTGGGGCTTTCTCATATGTACATTCTGTATGAATGGACTACGTATTGTGTAATTGTCCTGACACATCAAAGTGGGCTTTGGGTGACCATAATCTTTACATGAAGGTTGATTATTTGTTTTTAGCTAACTGTGTTGCTTTTTATTGATTTGTATTCAGAATTCGTTCTGAATTTATCTTTGCAATGCAAGATTTGTTTCAAATACAATACTCACCAACTTGTTTGCAGTACTCCTAAATCATAGATTCAATGCATTCTATGGTTATTTTGAACAGAAGGTCAGTGAAATGATGTCGCCTGCCCTGACAGCCTCGGGTGCACCTGTGCTCACAGTCACCATTACAGATATCAGATTGGCCTTCTTGAGAGTGATTCCAGGGAAAGCGACTGGCCAGGGTGGAGTCCCCAGCTGTGCACTCCAATCATATGCAGACAAGCTGGCAGGACTATTTGCAGACATCTTTAACCTCTCCTTGCTCTGATGTGAAGTTCCCATCTGTTTCAAGAATACCATTATCAACCTGGTGCCAAAGAAAAGTCAGGCAACACACCTTAATGACTACTGCCTGGTTGTTGTGACATCCATCATTATGAAGTATTTTAAGAGGTTAGTAATGGCACAAATCAACTCCAGCCTCCCAGATTGCCATGATCCAATACAATTTGCCTACCATCACATTAGGTCCACGGCAGACGCCATCTCCCTGGCCCTACATTCAACCCTAGAAAATCTGGATAACAAGAACACCATCAGACTCCTAGTTATTGTTTTTAGCTGCGCCTTCAGCACCATAATTCCAACCAATATCCATCTCCAAACTTTGAGACCTAGGACTCTGCTCCCCCACTCTGCAACTGGATGCTCGACTTCCTGACCTATGGACTGCAATCAGTGAGGATAGGCGACAATACCTCCTCCACAATAATCCTCAACACAAAAAACACAACGATACATTGCCAATTTCCAAATTAACCTGATGCAACTGTTCACGTGTCTGAATTATTCTAAGTAGGTATTACAGCCCTTGCTACTTTTTCATTATTTTTCTCTTTGTTCTTTTATTAATTTTGAAGTGTAAGCTGAAAGTGACTTAATGACTTTGAGTTAGCTAGTGGTAAAAGAAAAAGAGCAGACCAGACCTGGATGATAATTGTAGGCTAATCAGATCATCACATTCATAATTAAAAGGATCCTAACAGACACAGTGACCCCCGGAAGAGCAACATGTTTAAAGAGATAGCAGAAGTTGGCTATTAACAAATTGAGTACCTGGAAATTGGTCCTGGCAAGTCTGAAGGAGACCCTATGACAATTGTAGCATAGTAATTTGGGAAGAGTTGATCAAACTCTCAGTGAGGAGCCAGAATTTAAAATTGTTATTTTGAATTATGTTTTCTGACAAATGGTTCTGGGCTGTTGCTAAGACAGCATGAGATTTGAAAGTTCTCTGTGTAGTCTGAAACACCAGCTTCCAGAAACCCAAAGAATAAAGTGCTGAGCTTGTAGTATTGCTGCCTTTGCCTGGGTGAACTGAAAACATGACAATGATCAATATTTCAGAAAAGCAACCAAGGAGCTCACATTTAGTCCTGTGAAACTACACATCATGAAAACCATTTAAGTAATCTGGCCAGTTTTGTGATCTGTTATTTATCGCTTGGCTGTGTTTGTTTGACTGTCTGCCTTTGTGTGAATGGGGGCAAAAACAAATGTTTTAGGTGTAAAGCACAGTGTATTAATCAGCTTACGATGTTATTTAATTTTCTCTCCGCTGAAGCTACTGTGTATCTAATAAATCGTCAATTCTTTTGTTTAAGGTATAAAACCAGTTTCTTAAAAATTAATTATTTGCAAAGTCTGGGACTGGTATTTCACGAGTCTAGTTAGGAATCCATGGAGTGACTATTTGGGTGTCTTCACGTTAATTCAGAAGTAGAAGCGCTGATTTGGTTCGGGTGTCTATCTCTGTGTTGTAACAAAGGTGAAGTCCACTTTTGCTTATCTAATGTTTAACAATGGAAATGACTGATAGACTCACTGAAGATTAAGAATGGTCACTGAAGTGGTTGAGAAGATCATGTCGAAAACTAGGTACTGTCTCCCTGAGAAAATAAGATTTGATCATTGTCTTTACAGTGGTGTTCTGCATCTTTTACATGAAGTCCCACAGCACTATCCATTTAGTTTTGCTGGCAGTAGTTGATTTCCTCATGTAATGCATTAATGTTTGAAAAACCAGAGAGTATTTCAGCTTTGTAAGTAAAATCACTTCAAACATTGGTCAGTAAATACACTCTTTCCAAAGCCGTTTAAGATTAACCTGTATATCACTTTCTCAGGACTTGATGGTGAAATTGTATTATTTTCTTATTTTTTTGTGAAGAGCTATTTTAATAACTCAGTTTGTTTTTAACTTTCAGAAAGTTGTGAACCTAGAGCTTTTGTTTGAGTTGACGAGGCCTGATGTCGTTGAAACTGTAACTATACAGAACAACAACAGTGCACGAATCCACTTCAGGCTGGTTCTCCCCATTGATGTGGTAGTATTTGCTAATCCAGAGGACCAATGGGGACAGTATGTATTGTTCTATTTATTAACAATGCAATATGTAGTCCATAGTCAATAATACTTTGTTAAATAATTTTTAACATGTTGACTGTATAACATCTTAGGTTAAATGTTTTCTTCAGGCATTGAAGCCTACTGTCCAGAATTATCTGGTTTTATTCTGAGGCACTTGCAGCGTACTTTGTGATAACAGACTGGATTTCTCCAGAGACACAAGTTTTCCAGTTCTTTTATAGTCTTTAGTATTGTTCTAAATATGTTTAGGGAAATTTTATATTTTCCCTTGTGTTGCTACTGACTTTCTCTTAAAACAATGTTTATCAAACAATGCTTTTATTAGTACATGGCATCAATAATAACATGGTGGTAAGTCAATAAATGTGGACGAATACCAAAATTATTCCAACATAAAATTTGTACACTGAACTCCAGAAGAATACATGTCAAGTGAACATTGATCCCTTCCCTGTGGGCCCACAGAGCAGACTTCCAATCTTAAAGGTATCAAGTTAATATCATAGAATTATCATTGAATTTTACAGTACAGAAGGAGGCCAGTTGACTGATTGTGTCTGTACCACCTTCTGAAAGAGCAACCTAGCTAGTCCCATTCTCCAGCCCTATCTCCACAGCCCTATAACTTCATCACTTTCAAATATATATCCAACTCTGTTTTGAAACCTCATATGGAATCTGCTTCCACCACTCTCCCAGGCAGCACATTCCAAATCCTAACAACTTGCTTGACTAAAGAAGTTTCTCCTCATCTCACTCCTAGCTCTCTTGCTGACAATGTTGAAATTGTGACCCCTGTGGTAATGCAATGTCTTGTTCATATGTCATCCCTTCCTTTAGTCAACCATTAGTGGAAGGAACCTCATTCCTGTTTCTTCCTTAAATCTCTCTGCAATCCTGCAACTTCTCAGCATGTTTTTACAAAGCTACTCAAAAGTAATTAATTGCCAATACAACCAAATTTGGTGGATTGGCAAACACTGAGGGTGATATAACTTAATTGCCAACAGGACATGGGTGACCAGAATGGTTAGACAAATGGCAGATAGAAATCTATGAAGAAAACTATGAGATCATGTATTTTGGCAGACAGGGAAGGCAGTATAAACATTTTGGGCCACCTCTGAAGAGAGTGCTGAGATAAAAGGACCTGGAGGTGTACATGCAAATATATTTGAAGGCAGTACAATGTTGAGAGTGACTAGCCACGCATTTGACATCTAAGCATTTATGAGCTTTGTAAGGGGGTATGGAGTTCGACAGAAGAGCAGTTTTGGGTGAGGTTTTGCAAACCTTGGTTATTTTACAGAGAAAGATTGAACATGTGGATCTTTAACCAGTGGAGTTTAAGTTGATCTTATTGACTCATGAAATCCTGAAGGGACCTGGGGGTGGCTATTGGAAGGATATTTCATTTAATGTCTTGAATCAAATTACAGACTGGGTGCTGGATGTCCTAAAATGATGAAGGTGGATAAATCCCTGGGACCTGATCAGGTGTTTCCCAGAACTTTGTGGGAAGCTGGGAAAGAGATTGCTGGGACCCTTGCTGAGATATTTGTATCATCGACAGCCACAATTGAGGTGCTGGAACACTGGAGGGTGGTTAATGTGGTGCCTTAAGAAAGGTGGTAAGGAAAAACCTGGGCACTATAGACCGGTGAGCTATATGTCACTGGTGGATATGTTACCAGAGGGCGTTCTGAGGGACAGGATTTACATGTATTTGGAAAAGCAAGGACTGATTAAGGATGGTCAGCATGGTTTTGTGCATGGGAAATCATGTCTCACTAACTTGAGTCTTTTGAAGAGATAACAAGGAGGATTGATGAAGGCAGAGCGGTAGATGTTGCCTATATGGACTTCAGCAAGGCATTCAACAGGGTTCGGCATTGTAGACTGGTTAGCAAGGTTAGATCACAAGGAATCCAGGGGGAGCTAGCCAATTGGATACAAAATTGGCTCGAAGGTAGTGGAGAGTTGTTTTTCGGCCTGGAGGCCTATGACCAGTGGTATGCTGCAAGAGTTGCTGCTTGGTCCACTGCTTTTTGTCACTTATACAAATGATTTGGATGTGAATAAAGGAGGTATGGTTAGTAAGTTTGCAGATGACACCAAAATTGGTGTTATGGTGAACCGTGATGAAGGTTATCTCAGAGTACATTCAGACCTTGATCAGATGGGCCAATGGGCTGAGGAGTGGCAGATGGCGTTTAATTTAGATAAATGTGAGGTGTAGCATTTTGGTGAGACAAACCAGGGCAAGACTTACACAGTTAATTCAAACAAAAAGAGACCCAGGAATGGAGGGTCCTAGTTCCTTGCAAATGGAGTCGCAGGTACACAGGGTGATATTGGTCAGTGCATTGAGTAAAGGAGTTGGGATGTCATGTTGCAGCTGTACAGGATATTGTTAGGCCACTTTTAGACTACTGCAATCAACTCTGGTCTCCCTGCTATACAAAAGATGTTGTTACATGGAAAGGGTTCAGAAAAGATTTACAAGGATATTGCCAGGATTGGAAGGTTTCAGCGATAGAGAGTAGCTGAACAGGCTGGGTGTTTTTGCTTTGGAGCATTGGAGGCTGAGGGGGGACCTTATAGAGGTTTATAAAATCATGAGGGGCATGGATAGGGTGAACAGCCAAGGGTAGGGGAGTCCAAAACCCGAGGGCATAGGTTTAAGCTAAGAAGGAAAGATTTAAAATGGACCTGAGGGGAAACTCTTTCATGCAGTCTGGTGCGTGTATGGACCGAGCTGCCAGAGAAGCAAGGACAGTTATGTTATTTAAAAGGCATCTGTATTGGTACATGAATAGGAAGGGTTTAGAGGGATATTGGCCAAATGCTAGTAAATGGGACTAGATCAGTTTAGGATATGCGGTTGGCATGGACGAGTTGGACTTAAGGGCATGTTTCCATCCTGTATATCACTATGTCTCTATGAATGGAAAAGTACAGGCAGTTTGTTGCATCTGACTTTTTTTTCCATAACAGAAAAAATTAAGGGCAGAAGTAGGCCATTCAGCTCATTGACCCCTCACAGCCATTCAGTTAGAACCTAGCTCATCTCCTAATCCTCAATTCCACTTTCCTGCCTTACCCCATAACCCTTAAGTCCCTTTGTGATTAGAAATATGTTTATCTCAGCTATAAATATACTGAACAACGAACATCATCAGCAGTAAAGAATTCCATAGACTCACTACCCTCTAAGGGAAAAAATTGCCCCCTTGTCTCTATCCTAAACGAGTGACCACTTACTCTGAAATTATGCCCGGTGGTTCTAAGTGTTCCCACAGGGAGGAAGAACCTTTCCGCATCTACTCCGTCAAGCCCCCTAAGAATATTGTATGATTCAATAAGATCTGTGCTCATTCTTTCAACCTCCCATGAGTACAAACCCAACCTACTAAACCATTCCTCATAAGAAAGTTGCTCCATACCCGGGATCAACCTAATGAACCTTCTCTAGCCTGCTTCCAGTGCCTGTGATCTTTCCTTAGATAAGGGAACCAAGTAATCCAGGACTTGAACCTTGTATAGTTTAAATAAGACTTCCCTAATTTTATACTCCATTTCCTTTGAAATAAACTGTCCATTAGCCTCTGAACTTGGACGCTAACTTTCGTGATCTATGCATGATGACACTGAAATTCCTGTGTGCTGCAGCTTTGTACTGTCTTTCAGTTCTATCATAATTGCATGACCTCAAATTGCCTGGCTTTATATTCCACCTGCCAGGTTTTTGTCTGGTCACTCAACCTGTCCTTATTTTTCTGCGGATTCTTATTGTCACTCTCACTACTTGCCTTTCTATTTTTTTTGTCATGTTCAAGTTTGCCCAAAGTACATGCATTTACCTGATTCAAGTCGTTAATATATCTTGTAAATAATTGGGCTCCTGCACTGATCCCTGTGGCATTCCTATAATTGTGCATTGCCATACTGAAATATGTTCCCTTTGTCTCAACCCTTTGTCTTCTATTGGTTAGTCAAATGTCTATCCATTCCATTATACTGCCCTCAGCATGATGGGCTCTTATCTTATTAATTAGCCTATATGGTAACAAATAAAACACCTTTTGGAAATTCAAATATATTACGTCCAATTTTTTGTTTATTCATTCATGGGATGGGGGCATTGCTGGCTAGGCAGCATTTATTGCCCGTCCCTAATTGCCCAAATTGCTGTGGGTCTGCAGTCACACGTAGGCCAGACCAGGTAAGGATGGCAGTTTCCTTCCCTAAAGGACATTAGTGAACCAGATGGGTTTTTACTACAATCAGCAATGGGTTCAGGGTCATCATTAGATGATTCATTCCAGATATTTATTGAATTCAAATTCCACCATCTACCATGGTGCGATTCAAACCCAGGTCCCCAAAATGTTATCTGGGTCTCTGGATTAACAGTCCAGCAATAATACCACTAGGCCGTTCCCTCCCATCTAATGGTTCCCCTTTATCTATACCGCTTGTTAAAAGCCAAAAGTAATGTTGCCATAGTCCTAACACACTATAGGGTTGTTGTTTCATATTAATGATGAGGTTGTGGAGTACTCGGAATTACATGGTGAAACAGACCTGAATTAGTATGGTTTCATCAAGAGGAGGTCATTTCTGACAAATCTGTTATAATTCTTTGAGGAATAACAAGCAAGTTAGACAAAGGAGAGGCAGTGGACATCATCTATTTGGATTTCCAGAAGGCCTTTGACAAGGTATCATACGGTTCACTCGCTGATGATTAGTACAGTTTGCAGGGGTCCATGTTGGGACCATAACTATTCACGTTATGCACTAACGATCTTGGTGAAGGAACTGAGGGCATTGTTGCTCAGTTTGCAGATGACGCTACCTTAGGTAGAGGGGGTGGTAGTGTTGAGGAAGCAGGGAAGCTGTAGAATGACTTGGACAGGATAGGAGGGTGGGCAAAGAAGTGGCTGATGGAATACAATCTGGGGAAGTATGAGGTTATGCACTTTGTTAGGAAGAATAGAGATGTGAACAATATTTTAAATGGGGAATGGCTTCAGAAATTGTAAGCACAAAGGGACTTGGGAGTCCTAGTTCAGGATTCTCTTAAGGTTAATGTGCAAGTTCACTTGGCAGTTGGAAGGCAGATGTAACAGTAGCATTCATTCAAGAGGATTACAATACAACAGTGGAAATGTGCTGCTGAGGCTAAATAAGGCTCTGGTCAGATCACATTTGGAATATTGTGAGCAGTTTTGGGCCCCACATGTCAGGAATAACCTGCTGGCCTTGGAGGAGGTCCAAAGGAGATTTTCAAGAATGATCCTGGGGCTGAAGGTCTTATCAAATAAGGAGTAATTGAGGACTCTGGGTCTGTACTCAATGGTGAGGAGGGATCTGATTGAAACTTAGAGAATATTGAGAGGCTTGGATAGAGTGGACATGAAGAAGATGTTTCCATTAGTCAGAGAGACTAGGACCCAAGGGCACAGTCTCAGAGTGAAAGGGTGACGTTTTAGAACTGAGATGTGGAGAAATATCTTCAGCCAGAGGATGGTTAATCTGTGTAACTCATTGCCACAGATGACTGTGGAGGCCAGGTCATTGAGTGTATTTAAGACAGAGATAGATAGGTTCTTGCTTGGTAAGGGGATCAAGTGTTACAGGGAGAAGACAGGAGATTTGTGTTGAGAAACATATCAGCCATGATCAAATGGCAGAGCATACTTGATGGGCCAAATGGCCTAATTCTGGTCCTATGTCTTATGGGCTCGTTGGACTTAGTGGCCTTTAATCCCCTTTCATGATAGTTATTATATTCATTTTCTCCCCCAGTCCCCTTTTTCCCCGATTATTTAGTATTTGTGGAATTCTATTAATTCTACTATATTATGGTCACTGATCCCTCAGGGATGTTTTATTCTGAGATCATTCATTAAGTCTGCCTTAATAAACATTACTAGATCCAAAATAGCCTGATCCCTAGTTTGATTCACAGTACAGGAAATTATCCTGTATGCACTCTTTGAGCCCTTACTCATGGTGATCTAGAATCTTGGAATCCCTACAGTGTGGAAAGAGGCCATTCAGCCCATTGAGTCTGTACCAAGCATCCGAAGAGCATCTTACCCAAAACCAGCCCCTTACACTGCCCCTGTAACCCTGTTTTACCATGGCTAATCCGACTAGCCTGCACATCTATGGACTGTATTGACAATTTAGCATGGACAGTCCAGCTAATTTGAACATCCTTGGACTGAGAGAGGAAACAGGAGCACCTAGTGGAAACACACACAGACAAGGGGAGAATGTGACAGTCACCCAAGGCTGGAATTGAACCGGGGTCCCTGGCACTGAGGCAATGGTTAAGACCACTGAGCCCTGCCAATTTGATGTTATCAATCTACAAGAAGATTATGATTGATTTATTATCTTTTTCAACATGCCCTTATTATCTCCTAATTGATTCTGTGTTCCACAGTTACTGTTTGAGGACCTATCGACTACTCCTTCAGTAATGTCTTCCCCTTGATATTTATTATTTCCATTCATATGGATTTTGCCTTATCCAATCCAAGATCACTTGTCCCTATCACACTTATTCCACCTCATACTAGCAAAGCTACACCACCACCCTTCCCTCTCAGCCTGTGCCTTCGAGACGTCACATACCCCCTGGATATTTCGTTCCCAGCTTTGATCTCCTGACAATCATGACTCTGCATAGGTCATCTCCATTAGCCTCTAGTTGTGCCGTTAATTCATTTCTTTAGTTCTGAATAACACATGCACTTAAGTGAAGAGCCATTAATTTTGCCTTTTTAATATTTTATTTCCCCTTTGTTCCATTTGCTGTTTTTTTACGCTCATACACTGTCCCTTCCTGTTCCCTTCTGACTCCTATTGTTCTGATTCTATCAAGACTACACTTCACCATCATGAGTATTTGCATAACTGCATGTTTAGACAAAACTCTTTAAGACAACTAGTTACTTCAGCACATCATTTTAAACAAGCAAATCACACATGCAGATTATAACAGAATTTTCTTGAATTGAATTAGCTTTATTGTCATATACTCAATTGAATACAGTGAAAAGTTTACAAGTCCCACATTACGGTGCCATCTTAGAAACAAAAGAACCTATGTACAGATACTAAAGAACAAATTCTTAGGCAAAAAAACAGAAAATAAAGAAATAAAATGCCCAGCTTTACAGATCATAGGAATAAACTTAAAAAAAGAAATAAAAAGTTCAGAGTAACATTCTTTCCAACTCAGTCCACACCAACACCTAGCTTCCAGTAATTGAAAGAGAGATAACCACCACCTAGTCGCCGTCTGCATGATACTCAACAACGTAGGAGTCTGCGAACTTTAGGCACCATCTCTTCGCCGATGAGCCCACCTTGCTGACATCACTGAATTGACACTCTCTCCGGAAACAGGAGTCCCCAGCTCCGCTGCTGCTGCCGCCTCACCAATAACCAGAAGTCCCCGCTGCAGGCCTACCACAACAGCAACCAGGAGTCCCTGACTCTGTTGCTAGGTCAGGAGTCCTGGCTTTGGGCCTACTGCGACCAGAAGTCCCTGGCGCCACCACCGTGCCAAGAGTCCTGCTTCAGCTGCAGACGTTGGCTTGCCAGCACCACGGTCTTGAAGTGTCTGCTGCCGCCAGCACCGCTGCCCCAGTTGCTGGAGGAGCTTTGCTGCCACCGGCCCCGAACACTGGGAGAACATCATTGCTGCCGCTGCTACCAGCCCATATACTGAGAGGATGTCCTTGCTGCCATTGCCGCCACCTTCAATTGCGGAGAAGCCGTATCCGCTGCTCTGCATGCAGCCTGCTCTTGCTGCCGCGCTGATGCTGCCAACCAACCAGCCACAGAAAAGAAGAAAGAGAAAAGAAAAAAAAAGAAAAAATGAAAGAAAAAGAGCAGGAGCAAAGAAAAAATAAAGTAGATGGGAGCAGATGAGCCCTGGATAAGAGCATGCACGCGGCCCTGCTATTCCACCACCGTATTGAAACACTTGAATTTTCGTCATCTTTTCATTTGTATGCTGAAATTGAATGCTGAGCATTCTTCCGGACAATAATAGACAAGTGTATTTGCTGAGAATCGTGTTGACCTCTTTTACAGTGCATGAGCCTGGAGTAGAAGGTACAATTAATATATTTGGTACAATGAATTCTAAAAGTTCAGATCTCTTGCTTTTACACTAAAATAATTCTTCTTTTAAGTCAAATTTATGGACAGTAATTCCTGGTGCATTTCTAATAACAATGTTTCAACCAATCAGTTGACTTTCCAACCAATCAGCAGCACCCTTTTCTCATTGCTGTACAAATTGTTGTTCCTTCTGAGGCTTGACATTTTAGCTTAAGTCCTGGTGAGAAGACAAAAGGCTTCAACAGTACTTTTTTTTTCAGAAATTGTTGACATTTCTCCATTGATAGACCAAGCTCTATTCTAATAATGAGTTTAAATTGAAATTTTTTTGCATACAGATGCTGCATGTTTGTATCATGTTATGCTTTTCTTACAAAGAGGATTCTTGATGAGTTAGAAAGAACATTTGCTTCTGCAAAGCTAGAGATTTCATAGATAAGTGAAAACACTCCATTGTTTCCAAATTTACTGAGTGTAAAGGGTTTTTTTTCCTAATGCTTGAAGAGAAAGCAATAGCTAGCAGGAAAGCTAAGTTACAACTGTATGTAATTTTGTGTCTGCGTTGGGTTTTTGCTTAGTGATGCTGCGTATGTAATATAGAGCCTTTACTATTAATTATAAATTATGTTTTTGACAGGCTGCAGGATCAATTTGTGAAAGCAGTTTCTACACAGCTATATGAGATGGACCAGTGCATTCAGAGATATACAAAAAGAAAGTCTGTCCCAATTCCGCAAGCATTCCACTTTGAATTGCCAGAGTCAACTACTCTTACTACAGTAATATACCCTGCTGGATACAGTGAAAAGGATCTGGAACCACAACGAAAAGTAGGGCTGGAATACAAGTCACTTTTTCCATTCATGCAGTCTGTTCATCAGCCGCTGAATGTTTAAAGTAGAAATTTATTGGATAAGAACTTCAGTTACGAGGATAGATTAAGGATTGCTCTGAAAGGGTATTGATAAGTTGGTAGAGTGGACAAATAGATGGCAAATGAGGTTCGATGCAAAGAAGTATGAGGTGATGCCCTTTGCTAAGAAGAGCATTGAAAGACAATATAAAATAGGGTTCCCAATTTTTAAAGAGGTGCAGGAGCAGAGGGATCTGAGTGTATATGTGCACTGTTCATTAAGGGTGGCAGGGCAGGTGGAGAGTACATTTAAGAAAGCACATGGTGTTCTCAGCTTTATTAATAGGGGCATGGACCACGATAGTAAGATACTTGTGAAACTTCATCTGGAGTACTGGGTACAATCGTGGGTGCCACATTACAGGAAAGATGTGAATGTATTGGAGAGAGGGCAAAAGTGATTTACTCTAGCAGTTCCAAGAATAGGAAACTTCATCTGTGAGGATAGATTGAAGAAATTGAAATTGTTCTCCTTGAAGAGAAGGCTCAGAGAAAATTTAATAGAGGTTTTCAAAATTTCTGAGCACGCTGGATAGAGTAGATAAGGATAAGATGCAGTGCTCATAAAAAGTACAGGAATAAGGAAGGCACAGATTTAAAGTGATCTGCAAAAGAAGTAAGGGTGATGTGAGAAAAATTTTTTTCATACTCATGTAGTTAGGATATGGAATGCATTGCCTGGAAATTTAGTTAAGGCAGGTTCTGTTGAGCCATTGAAAGGGGTTGAATGGCCTACTCCTCTTATTTTCTATGTTCTATTGCATATAAAGCAGGAACAGGTTTCTGAGTATGATAATCAGCCACGAAATGCCAAATAGCCTACTCATCCTATTTTCTGCATTTCTAAGGCATTGGATGATTATTTGGATAGAAATAGTGTACAAGGGTAAGGGGGGATAAAGCATGAGTGGCACTAGATCATAATTCTCATTTGAAGAGCCAAATGATAGACCAAATGGCCGCCTTTTGCACCATAACAATTCTGTGTTCTGTGAAGTTGAGACTGTCATAGAGTCATACAGCACAGAAACGGACCCTTTGGTCCAACTCATCCAAACTGACCAGACATCCCTAACTGACCTAGTCCCATTGCCAGCATTTGGCACATATCTCTCTGAACCCTTTCAATTCATGTACTCATCCAGATGCCTTTTAAATTTTGTAGTGGTACCCACGTCCACCACTTCCGCTGGCAGCTCGTTCCATACACGCACCACACTCTGCATGAAAATGTTGCCCCTCAGTTCCTTTATAAATCTTTCCCCTCTCACCTTAAACCTATGCCCTCTAGTTTTCGACTCCCCAACCCTTGGAAGAATACCTTGGCTATTTCACCCTATCCATGCCCATCACGATTTTATAACTCTCTATAAGGTCACTCTTTAGCCTCTGATGCTCCAAGGGAAAAAGGTCCCAGCTGATTCAGCCTCTCTCTATAGCTCAAACCCTCCAGTTCCAGTGACATCCTTATAAATCTTTTCTGCACCCTTTCAAGTTTAACAACTTCTTTCCTATAGAAAGACAACCAGAATTGTGTACAGTATTCTAAAAGTGGCCTCACCAACATCCTGCACAGCCACAACATGACATCCCAATTGCTGTACTCAGGTTTATGACCAATGAAGGCGAACGTGCCAAATGCCTTCTTCACCACCTTGACTACTTGCAACTCCACTTTCAAAAAATTATGCACCTGCACCCCAGGTCTCTTTGTTTCGCAACACTCCTTAGGGCCCTACCATTTTATTTAAGTCCTGCCCTGCTTTGCCTTGCCAAAATGCAACACCTCACATTTACCTGAATTAAATTCCATCTGCCAGTCCTTAGCCCATTGGTCCATCTGATCAAGATTCTGTTATACTCTGATATAATCTTCTTCACTGCCCATTCCACCACCTATTTTGGTGTCATCTGTAAACTTACTAACCATACCTCCTATATTCACATCCAAATGACATAAAGCAGTGGACCCAGCACAGATCCTTGTGGAATACTACTGGTTACAGGCCAATTTTTGTATCCAATTGACTAGCTCTCCCAGATCCCATGTGATCTAATCTTACTAACCAGTCTACCAGGCAGAACCTTGTTAAACACTTTGCTGAAGTCCATAAAGACAACATCTGCCACTCTGCCTTCATCAATCTTCTTTGTCACTTCTTCAAAAAACTCAATCAAGTTACTGAGATATGATTTCCCACGTGCGAAACATGCTGACTATCCCAATCAGTCCTTTCCTTTCGAAATGCATGTAAATCCTGTCCCTCAGAATCCCCTCCAACAATTTACCCATCTCAGACGTAAAGCTCGCTGGTCTTCAGTTCCTTGGCATTTCCTTACAGCTTTTCTCAAATAATGGCACCACATTAGCTAACCTCCAGTCTTCCTTCACCTCACCTGTGGCTGTCGATGATACATTTATCTCAGCAAGGGGCCTAGAAATCTGTTCTTAGCTTCCTGCAAAGTTTTGGGAAACACCTGATCAGGTCCAGGGGATTTATCTACCTTTATGCGTTTTAAGACCTCCAGCACCTCCTGTTCTGTAGTATGACCTGTGACGATACTGTGGTTTTAACAGGTGTATTTTGTTGTGGCTTTTTTGAAGAGAGGTTTTAAGGCAGAAGCGCCGAGTAGTTTATCAGGACCACTAGAGTAAACAGCTTGTGAGGCCTTGGGCTTTTTAAAAAGTTGGAACAACAGAAGCAGTCTGAATGGGTGTGGCCATTTAGTTTTTAGTTTTAGCTTTCAGCAGTTGCTGTTGGGATCTTGAAGAAGTCGAAGCTATTTTTTACCCCTCTCCGTTACAGCAAAAGGCTGGGTTTTCTATGCCTGCTATGGGAATTGCATGTGAGACAATCTGTTTTCTGTGTTTGCCTTTTACTAAGGGTGTGTTTATGGGATATTACTGTATTGGAACAGTTAATTAGTAATAGTTACTGTATCTATTATTACGTTAAATTTTCCAATAGAATTAAGTTATTCCAATTCCTTCTTTTGTTGTATTTTAACCAAAGTGGATGGATAAAGTCTGTTTTGCTTTAAATCTGGTAGTTTGACCAATCAAATTGCATCTGGAACGTAACACCTTACATTTACCTTTAAAATCAAAAAAGATTAGGGTCTTAAGGTCTAGACTATCTTCTGAATATTTTGAGGGGGTTTAGTTTGGTCCATAACAGAACTCTTTTCTAAACATCAATATTTATTTCTCCAAATTCCCTGGCTTCCGTGTCTTTCTCCACAGTCAATACTGACACAAAATATTCATTTAATATCTCACCCATCTCCTGTGGTTCCACAAATAGGTGGTCCAGTTGATCTTGAAGGGGCCCTATTCTCTCCCTAGTTACTCTTTTGTCGTTAATGTACTTATAGGAGATCTAATAGAAATTTTCAAAACCATGAAAGATCTGGAAAGGGAAAACCTTTCTAGCAAGTTAAAGGATGGAGAATGAGAAGGCACAGATTTAAAGTGATTTATAAAAGTAGCAACTGTGATATGAGAAAAATCATTTTCATACAAGTGATTCAGGCCTTGAATGCACAGCCAGAAAGTGTGGTGGATGTCGTTTGTTATTATATAAATGATTTGGATGAGAATATAGAAGGCATGCAGTTTGCAGATGACACCAAAATTGGCATTGTAGACAAGTGAAAAAGGTTTTCTAAGATTACAAAGGGATCTTGATCAAATGGGTCATTGGGCTGAAAAATGGCAGATGGAGTTCAATCTGAATAAATGTGAGGAATTGCATTTTGTTACAACAAACAAGGGTAGGGCTTATATAATTAATGGCAGGGCCTTGGATGGTGTTGTAGAACAAAGGGACCTAGGGGTGCAGGTACATAATTCTTTAAAGTTTGCATCATATATAGACAGTATGGTTAAAAAGGCATTTGGCATGCTTGCCTTCATTGCTCAGTCCTTTGAGTATAGGAATTGGGATGTTGTACAGGACATTGGTGAGGCCTCGTCTGCAATACTTTGTCCGGTTTTGATCGCCCAATTATAGGAAGGATATTATCAAGCTGGAGAGGGTTCAGAAGAGACTTATCAAAATGTTGCCAGGTATGGAAGTTTGAGTTATAAGGAAAGGATGGCTAGACTAGGACATTTTTCACTGGAGCGTAGGAAGTTGAAAGGTGACCTAATAGAAGTTTATAAAAAAAGAGACATATAGATAGAGTTGATAGTTGTTGTCTTTTCCTTGAGATAGGGAATTTCAAGACTAGGAGGCACATTTTTAAGGTGAGGTGACAGAGATTTAAAAAAGACATAAGAGGCAATTTTTTTTTACACAGGGTGGTTTGTGTGTGGAATGAAGTTCCTGATGAAGTGGTGGATGCGGGTACAATTACAACTTTTAAAAGACATTTGGATAGGTACGTGAATAGGAATGGTTTGGAGGGAGATGGGCCAGGAGCAGGCAGGTGGGATTAGTCTAGTTTGGGATTATGTTCGGCATGGACTGGTTGGACCGAAGGGTCAGTTTCCGTGCTATATGACTCTATGAGGGCATTGAATGATTATTTGAACAAAAATAACACGCAAAGTTATGAGAACCAGGAGAATGGCACTAAGTCATAATGCTCATTTGCAGTGTCAGTGCAGACACAATGGGCTGAATGGCTTACTCCTGTGCCATAACTCTTCATGATTCTAAGATATTGTCAGTTTTGGATTGATCCAAATTTATCTTTTCAGTTGTTAATAAAAATCATGATTTAACATGATGTAGTCTTCCAAGTTAAATCTCGTGATACCTGTGCTGAGTGTAATATTTATAGATCCCAATTTTGAATAATATTCCTGAAAGCAGTGAAAATGCTGACTTCTGAATCACTTCTCAAGCCTCTAAATAACTTTTGAAGTTGTTTCTTCTAATTTTTTTCCCTTTTGTACTTCGTGGGTAGATA